GGAAATGTTGATCCTCCTTATTTACTGCTTTGCTAAAGTTTTTTCTTCATTCTGAAATTCACGTAATTTTCAGTCAAGCCTCGCCATCGCATCATGTACCACAAAGGAAAAGCTGATGCTCACCATCACGAGGTATTTTTTTTCTGCTAATCAACATCTTGGTAATACCTTCTTTTTCTTGCTCATCCCATTCTGACATGTATCTGCTTTGACCTGTTAGTTTGCAAAGGATGCTGTGTTGGGTTTAACCCACTGATATCTGTTTCACTGATCTGACCCCAGCGGCCTGCCAACTTGTGAAAACATTCAGTCGAATGTCAGGAGAAGTAAAATCCACACAAAGCTTTTTTAGTTTTCATCTGTTCGGCCTCTTGGATACCTCCCTCCACAATATTGTATACACTCCTATCCCAGCAAAGGGGAGAGCGTCCCTTTGAGCACGGAGTCAGATCCTTTTTTCTTGGGGTATTTCCATTTTAGACAACTGTCATCATCTGTTGTGCAGGAACAATGATATGATCAGAAATGTCCTCAGATGTTGAGATCCTACCAATGCGCAGAAGCTGCTATGACCAAAAGGAGGACGCAGAACGCTGTTGTCCTTTCTGGGTAGTTAGGTAACCAAGCTGTGGTAGCTGTGGTTGAGATCGGCTTAGTGAGAGCTCGTCAAGACTGTCATTTCAGTCCTTTCCGGATTCAAAGGCGCTCAGAGCTCGTAAAATCACTTGTGGACTATCACTTGTCATGATAGTAGTGTCTTAGGGGAGTTAGGTCCGACATGGGACTTGGAGCACACATATAAGTTATATCAGAGTACTGGTGAAGTAGGGAAGGTATAGCGCTGGTACTTCAACTAAGTTTGCATCTGAAAAATTCTTCTGTGTACGCGAGGTTGGTAGGTGAGACTTCTATTATGGCCTGACGTTTCGACTAAATCGTCTTCATTAGAGGCCCAGTACACCACAGTGAGAGCGGAAGTAGCTGCTCAGTTAGTTATTAGTACAATAAGCTTGCGTCGTTTTTCGCCAGGAGAGGAATCTACGAGATTTATGTTAGCCGTCATCCCTTTTCTGATCTTAAAGTTTTTTTTTAATGACACGTAAGGTTCGGGACAAAAGACTCTTGATTATCAATCTTGTTGAGATAACATGCATGCGATTCCATAAGGTTCTGTGCGTTTGAGTACAAGGTGTCCATATACGATAGCTCGAGAGGCACGTTTCGTGCGACCTAAATGGGGTACCACCTAGCCAATGTTGGGAGAAATGGAGTGGTTGACGCACCTGAGCGTGTTTAGGCGGACTATACATGCCATGGCGCCCACTTCTGCCCACCTCCGCTCATCAAGAAATGATTAATGGATATTTCAGTGCAGGTAGTGTGGTGTAAGCGACACCGCTTACCACGGCTCGGTCACGGGTCAATTCTCCGATCGAGCTCCGTGCCCTGGAGGTCATTGTATAGACGAAATCACAAATGTCCCCGGGACTCTGAACGACAATAGAATGTGTGGCGCATTCCACAAAGGGATTGTTTTACGATTAGTCTTCAGCCCCTCTTTGGAATTTGCCCGCGCATGACCGCTTGTAGAATTTATGTGTTACGCATTTGTCAGATTTATGTAGTTGTGCCCTGTTTTTGATTTCAAGGCGTTTTACTTTGCGTCAGTGTTTTGAGTTACCTTAAAAATACACTTATCAATCCAGTGTTTTGAGCGTATGCCAGCGTATTTTAGCGCACGCTACCGTACGCTCAAAACGCTCGACGCAGAGTATGAACGCACTTTTAGTGTCCTGCAAAATCTCTGAAGATTGAAGCAATTTGACGAGGTTCTTAATTCAGGTTGAACACTGGTACGGTATTCGACAAAAGAAGGCCGACGCGGAATATTTCAAGAAGTACAATCCGCTCAAGAAGGAAGGAGAGGTTGAAGTCGGAGGCCATTAGAAATCGATGTAGTTCTTCAGGTTAATAGTAAACGATATGTGAATAAATTTTAATCACTCGTCCACAGACTTCATGTACCATAAATTACTTGTGAGCTGATAAGGAGGATGCCTAGGAACAGAGTCAAATTATGAAGCTACGTACCTTACGTCCAAGCCTTAAAGGTGAAGCCCGCGTTCAAAAATGTGGGTTTTGCGGCTCGTACAGTAATAAGAAGCAGCGGATAATTCCAGTGTGGAAAAAGCAGAAAGAAATCATGGGAAACGTCCTAGCAGAACCTCAAGTCGAACTGAGGTTCTACGTGCATAAGGCGAAAAGAAGTTACACGAGTTGTCACTTGTTGGGTGGAGCTGTTTTTCCTTACCACCTCGCTCTCACCGTTCGAGGTAGAGGTTCAGTAGCGGAAAAAGCCGCATCATCAGGGCAACCATTGGGAATGAACGCTGGGCGTTCTGGCTGCCAGGGCGGCGGAGCGGAGAAACCTCTTCACGAGCGGGTGCTATCCTGTTGTATTTTTGAGCTGCGAAGTCACTACATACTCTATCCTTGTGTGCACGGCTACAATATCCACAGAAGGCGTAGGAACATCGAATGAACGCCGATTCTGCCTTTAAGTTCTTCCTTGGAACATGGAGCCACTTTTTCGACGCGGTGTTCCAGGAGATATGTGAAAGGCACGGTCCGCGATAAAAAGCCTAGGTGATGTTGCAGAAATGTAGAAGAAAATTCGCCAAGTGAACCGTCTATGAAGAGAAAATGCCAAAGGGAACGTTGGAAACGCATTCGTCAGGCCTCCTCTAGCCTCAAACAACTGTAGAGGTGAAAGACCGCGCGCTGGGACAATTCCGTCGGCAACTCCATGACTTACTTGCCGGCCACCCATTCCTTTTGGCTGGGCCGACTTTGGAAGGCGGAGGTCGAGTGGACAAACAGGGATGTACCACTGAAACAACTTTGACTCTTAATTCCTTTACCGCTGCACTTTCCTTGAACTGCGCCACAGGGTTGCTCACTATTCCGGACCGCATACCTTCCACATCAATCGTCTTTGCATTTTATAATTCATACGCGGACGCTCCTTCAAAGTTTCAGTTTGACCTCGAGGGTATTTGATGGGTGAAGTTGTTTGCAGGAGAAAAAGTAGGCACTCCAGTGAATTGACTATCCACGTTGTGAGTACAGCTAGTGGTCTGATCTGTAAGCAGTGGTTCAGAGCGCAGTGCCCGCTGGGAGTGGTGAGGCTCCACGTTTCTGGCGTGATTTCGACCCCGTTCTCTACCACTATCAAGCGGGCAAGCGACAATAATTGGTTTGGGAAGGACTGGCGCCTCGCCAAACGCACTCGCTGATCCGCTCTCGTCTCTGCAGCGAAAACGGTTGTGAGCGCATAGAATAGCGACTCAAAACAAAGTACGGAAACGAGATTACAGCAGAAAAAACGGGGTGGAGTTTGCTCAAGTCATCCTGTAGCTAGCTGATTGATAGAATCTCCTTCATATACGAATTGGTCCGAGCGCGCTGAGATTGTGCTACTTTCCTCCGTTTGGGATTAGTTTCCTCTGCATGGGATGCGCGATGCCTGCGCCAAGGGTTTAAATAGAGGCTTTTTGGTAGCCCGACCGAGAAAGCCAAGTTGTCGTTGGGGGCCTCTATGTGGTTCGTCCAAAATCTGTTGGTGATGATGGATTTTGATGTAGGAGGACTTACGTAAAATCAAGAAGGGATGACCAGGAAGGGCGGATGACCTAGTGATTAGTAGGTGGGCTAAAGTAGGCGGTATACCCGTTCGATAGGTTCGTCTGGTCAAGGAATTGCACAGAAAGTGCAGTAAAAGTCGCGTCTTTTTGGTGTCACATTGCATATCCATCTGTACAGGTGTTCGATATATGATATCGCTAATCAGTGATTGCGATCAGCGCCCGAGATTATATCCGTTTTCGGATCCGTCATGAGATACAAGACACTTGCGTAATGTACAGGCTGGCTGTAGTTGTGGCATGTGTACTCCTTCTACCACCTTCGATCACCTACTCCGTACCGCCTACAGGAATTAAAAGTGTTTCATCGGTAAGCGAATTCTCCCGTCGATAGGCAATTACTGCTCTATTGAATGTAAACTGCACTATTTAGCAGTACTAGTAACATAATAGTAATAGTAATACTATTGGTATAGGAATCAAAGAAGTATTCTTACCTTTTATTTCGTCTACACTTCAATAAAGCATTGGGATGAACCTGAACAAGTCTGGATTAGCGCAATCTTGGCTGCAGTATTCTGCTAGACCATCCTTCGTTGGTCCTGAAGCGTTCGCTTACTCCCACTTGGGCGGTTTTAGCTCGGAAACCTATTTATCCTAAGATTTCGGATGCCGGTCATCCCCATCTCGAGATTGGGGAACGCGCCCGCACGGGAAAGCGAGAGTTAAGTAAGCTAAGCAGTGCGCGACCTCCATAGACCCAGGTTTCCCCGAAGACACTCGCAAAACTTGTGGAAAAGACTGCCTGAACACTCACTTTCCTAACTTACAGCTAAATTTTTTTGAGAAGTATATGGAGTAACTTCTAGGGTGACGGTGCGAAACAGCTCCTATGAGCACTAAGTGGTCTACAAGCGTTCAGGGTGCCTTGATTAATGGCTTGGTGTTAAATGACATTGTCTGTTGTCTCGCTTGACTCTCTCGTCCTCTCACTGACTCTCCTCTTGCCCGGGCATGCAACATTCCTCTGCCGCAAAGGGCCCAAAATCGGCTGCAAAAACAGCAAAAATGACCCAGTTATGTTCGGCGTCTGCATCATTTCAATTTTCTGGTCAAAGCGGGTTACATAGTACCTGCAGTTTATTTATTTTTTTTGCTTTATTACCCTCAGACCGGTATCGAAGAGTGTGCCTTTAAGTTTAGTCATGTGGGGCAAATCGTGACTGAGTCCTTAACGAACAAAGAACATTTCCATTGAGAAAAGGAGTCTCTTACAATGGTGGGGGGGGGGGAGAATAGTCCTGGACTATGGCAATCCGAATGCTCTCATAGCTATACCCATGAAATCAGTCAGCCTTCTGTGACACCGTGCGCGCTGCATATATGCGGAACCGGGCTGAGCTTGTGCCGTCCTTATCAATGCGCCCTTCCTTTGTAAAATTGTAGAAAGGCGCTCTCATGGAATGGGCACGATGGCAGCTCCTGTCCCGCCCATTTGTAAAGTGTGAATAGTGCCTGAAAACCGTATCGAAAAACTATAAGATCTCATGTTATTCATGGCACACGCCTTATAGAGAGATTGAATGCTTCTGCCTAGCATATGGGGCTGGAAATTGTTCAGAAAGAGATGCATTATTGATGGAATATTATGACTCATTCGACACTCCATTTCCTAGAGATCGGGAGGGGCGTGGCTGCCTACTTCAACAGAAAATAGCACAGGGGACGATTTTTCGTGTAATATCCAAGAAGGACGACCGTCATTCTGTCTTATGCTGGACGATTACGCGATTACGATTCTCTCATAATAAAAATTTTCGACCAAAACCTCCATAGCCGGCAAATCTAACTGAAGTGTGCGGCCACTCCCTACGCATATTCGGGATATAGACTGTACATGGAGTCTTTTTCTTGCTCACTGCAACTGTTTCAGATTGACAGCATGATCCGGCAATGTTTCCAAACCCTTTGCAAGGAATGGATGTCTGAGTGCCATTGGTTCTGTGATTCTGTCTCAGAGAAGGTCATCAACACAATTTCAACTCCCTATTAGAAAACTAATTTTGATGAAACTTCAGAGCAATCTTCGCCGTTGCAAGGACTGCTTGAGTTGGCGTGGCCAGCAGTGTATGGATTGTTTTGAATTATGATCTGCAATAAAATCCTTTTATGAATATAATTATTGGCTAATAAATATTCGATACCATTCTTTCATGCACTTAACCACACTACTAGTTGAACATGCTCGTCATATCCTGCACCTACGCAGGTAACGGTTGAGGGCATAGCCAGGGGGGCGTGGCGATGACACCGACGAGGATGAGGCTACAGAATTCTTTCTAATCGTACGGTTTCTCTCTGCGAGGTCCAGAGGTGTTTTGTCATTGCATCTTCTGGCCGAGCATCTGAAGGAAAGAGAATAAGGAAGAGGTAATAGATAGGGGAGGAAGAAAAGGAAGGAAGGGCGGAGGGAGGCTTTCGCGGTTGACAGATTTCCTGGGAGTAGTAGTATTAGTCAATGAAAAGGTCCGTAGATTCGCGGAAATGCTAGTGCTGTCAGCTCCGGAAAAGCCGATTTCATCTTTGCCGCATTCACTTTGAAAACCCCAAGCGAAAATTGGAAACGTTGTACTAAGCGCAAGTTTGCTAGGGGGGGCATTTCGCACCTTGACCTCGGCAGTAGTTTCGGTTGAGGAGGCTTACGCTGGTGAAACCTGTGAATTCCTGTGAGGCTGGAGCGACCTCGTCGAGTCATCATGGTAAAACCTTCCAATCAAGAAAAGGCTCTCTAAATGGGTCGACACGTCGATGGGAAGCAGCAAAAGTGCAAATCGCTCCCACCGCCGAACTGCCCCATTATACTATATAGTAGACTACTACCCAAGACGAATTCCGGGTCACAAGGCATATTTTCTTCTCTTTCAAATGCGTCAGAGCTTATCCCCCTTCTCCAAGAGTGCCATGAAGTCGTTCTTTCATTCATATAACTGAAACCAGATAGAGTTTTATTCACTGCAGTTGATGGGGCGTGTCAAAGGTGATTGGTTTGTCGCAGACGCCAGCCCGTTTCTTTCTTTTTTTTTCTCCCGGCGAACCGGCAATACGGTACGCTTATAGTTAGTATCAGTCGTTTTCAGCCACTTGCTGTCGCCTACTCGCTTCAACAACAGGAGGAGAACGAGCTGCGGGCGCGCCAAACCCATCCAGCTCCCTGCAGTGGCCCTTACTGGACTCGTCTGGTATGATATGAACGCTCACTTGTACCGTGAGAGAATCGAGTCCTCAACCAAGAATCGACTCCTCAAACTGCACGCTCGGAATTAGGGCGCACCATCAAGATGGAGTACATTATTCTTTAATGCGGCCACGCCCCTTCCCCCCCCCTTTCCCCTCTCCCCTAATCCCTTCCACTTCTGTTGGTGGAAGAAGGTCATCCTCTGACTATTCACTGGAATGGTACGTTCAGCACACGGGGACCGAACAAATCAGGACCCTCTTCTTTTTCCACTAAATACAACACCTGCCAATGATGAACGTCTACAACGGATAAAATCAACTATCGAAATTTTTTTGGGGAACTACGCCCCGCTCCCCTAAACAATGATCCCTCCTTTTGCTTTTAGCAAAGGGTGCTGTGCCGTGGTTGGGGAATCCCCGACTAAGATTTATCCCGAAGGGGCTACGGCGTTATAGAGAAGACGAGATGACAACTTCGAAGCTCCACCGATTCCAACGGACGTCCTGCCTTCTAGAATGAATGAAATTGTTCGTAGAATCCAAAGCTTACGTACTCAGCCTATATACCTATCATCTTCGGAGCGAACCAGGAGCTACTGCTTTTGCACTGGCTTTTTCTTGCGGTAAGTAGATTCCTTTGTATAGCTGCGATTGCACTCTTCGAAGCTTAGCAGGTCTAATTTCTTCAGTTTCAGATACTGTAATCAAAAGATTACATTTATCCACATCATTCTTTCACTCTCTTTCAACGATTCTTTCACAGAACTTTACTCACGAGAAATTCCGAAAATAACTATTTCCACGATGCTGCACTAGACGCACATAATACTCAATGCACTTCATGCTAAAAAATTCCGGTCACTCTATCGAGTCGCCTCAAGAGCTCCGAAAGCGGATTATGGCCTCCCTTCGAAGCCACCTAGTACAGCTGCGGGCTACTCTTCGAGCTGCGCGGCTATTCGCCCCGGAAATTCGCCCCTTGTAAATCAGATTTTTTCCTAATCTATGCCAGTGATTTAATTTTCAGAAACCATTTCCGTTTTTTCGTTTTTTGAGAACATAGACGTGGACGTTCCAAATTTTTTTTTTTTTTTTCCAGAAAAAAAGATACCAGCTATCTTTATAGGACAATTTTTTTAGCGATCTTAGGCTCAACGTTACTTTTCGATAACTTTGCTCATGGAGGTAGGTGGATTTTTTTCTCAACCTTAGGCGCGGTTCGGTTTGGAGGGGACATTTTGCACTTTTGCCTGTCTTCTTACTATTTCATCATGTTACGTTAGCGTTAGTTGAAGCTTAAAGAATCTTGAATCCTGTGAGTTCGGAAAATGGTTAAAAGCGGGAAATGGTAAAGTGAGCCACTTCACTCACGAGAATTCACAGGTCTCCACAAAGTGGGCTGAACTAGCTTTCGCTAAGCACCATATGGCGCCCCCAACAAGCCGAACTGCGCCGTCATTATCCTGTTTTTTCTTTCTGAGACTAAATCTGGAATTGCAGGAGCTAAAGCAACGTCTGAGCAGGACGTCAATTTCGTCAGACATGGATATCGATCGGATTGTGAAGGAGAGTAAGACGACCACCATCACTGAGGCTCGTGAAACAATATTTTTTCGACCCCGTGATGTAAGTACTACATAGGATTAGTACCTATGCAATTTTGAACTTTTTGTCCCTTTACAGGGCTCCAAAAAACCGGGTAGCCCTTCTACGGTAGAAGCCTCAGGAGTCAAACGGTTGTCGATTATGGATTCGGAAACGGACGAGAGGAGGTAACCAGAAGAGTTTTGTGGAACTTTAATCTCTGGAAAAATTTCTAATTCAATTTAATTTTCGAAAATTTTCGGATTCCAAATCTTCTCTAATGAGCTGATAGTTGAAAAAGATACAGGGCACATCATTCGTTGGGGATTTTAGTCGAGTCTGTACGACCCCCCCCCTCCGGTGCTCTGTTCCTCCTCATCGAATCGAGCCGTCGACTGGGGGATAGGTAGCACATGTAAAACAGGAAAAGTCGCGAGACAATACGACCCCCCTCCTCTACCAATTTCCAGATTTTCCCCAAATTC